GGTGTTGGATATAATACACATGCTCACACCTACACCCTTAAGATGGTCAGCCCTCTCTTCGTTTAATAATGAAAGGGTTTTTTTCTCGAGTTTTATTAGATTTCTGATCTTTTGCAGTAAACAACTTCTAACAAAGCGAAATGGTAACCGAAACACTGCAGTTGAGATATAAGAAAAAAACAAGAAATAAAAAGAACGTATAAAACGCAATATGTTTTTTACATCTTTTCAAATGTTTATGAAGGTTTTTTGGGACTTCTCTCGGTTTGTTTTTAGTGGCACCTCTTTTTTCTTTCAGCTCATAGGTCTGATGTTCGTACATTTCACAGAAGTTGAAGGTTTTATAGAATCTTAAGGCCACCTAGATTAAAGCACAGCAGACGAGTTGCCACTTGTATTGTTACATTCAGTACAAAAGAGAGCAGGAAAGTAAAAATATTGCACTGACCATTGCGACTGAAGTAGCAGCTCTGCACATCGAGAACGAAAAAAGACCTATTGTGGAAACTATTTTTAGTGTACTGGAAGGTGTGGATAAAACACCGAACAAATACTGCATTTGGTCAAAAAGAATCTTTTTCGAAAAGTGTGAAACTGTTTAGGAGATCCAAACACGCATTGTTTGGAAGCTTGGAAAGAAACTTGCATTATCTCTTTTATACTTACCTGCAACTTCGATGAGATAAAATGAATGTGCACCAATGTGTCACTGCGAAACGAGCCACTCGCGATAACATAAATGTAACCGTCGCTTATCAGTAATGGTTAGCGGCGGGTGTGCGCATGTGCAGTTTAGACGGGTGTCAGGGTGAATGCAGCTTCATAATATATGAATATACCACCAGCATTAACTACCAGCGAAACCAACACCTACACCCACGCGTTCACCCACACCCATACTCACGCGTTCACTTTCACCCATACCCACACTAACACGTTTACCCTCGCCCATATCCTCACCCACACCCACACCCACACCCACACCCACACTTGGCGGAACATCTCTAGACAACATATCTTTCGACGAAAAATCTTCGACGACCTGTGCATTCGGCGAAAAATCTTTCGACACGTCATCTATTCGACGAAAAGTCATTCGACCAACAGCGCCCTACCTCATAAAATGATGATAAGCAACGTGTAAGAGCTTACCTGTAGTATAAAAAGAGCTTTCTAGCTTTCAACATAACATTATTACCAGCGTGTGTGGTAGTATTACGTGAGGCATAAGCAAACGCTATCGTTGATGGAAGTCTTGAAAAAAACAACACGCTTTTTTTCAGACTATTAAGTTAATATGGGATTTGATTTTGCGGCAAATTCAAACTGATCCAGATATTTCTATAAAGTTTGAACAATGTATATCTCAGCGACAAACAATACACACAACTTCCGAACTCTGTCCTGCAGCAGTACATGGACACAGTGATATATCGATACTCCAGTATCGTGATATATGGAGTGTGTGTGCGAGCGTTGATGTTGGTAGGTGTCGAATGTGGTGTGGGTGTAGGTATAAGTGCCATATCCATCAGAAACACACATCCGCACCGGATCACACCACTCACATCCATACCCATACCTGCACCCAATCCACCAACCCAATATACCGAAAAAGATATCGAATTCGAGTCACAAGCCACGTTGTAAGAAAGCTCCATTGATCTGCACTATTGAAAAATCAAAATATTCTAGATGTTTTATGTTTTTGCTTCAATACAGATGTGGAGTTATCCAGTTATATCCTCTTTTTAGATAATATCCTACCCGACTTGAAAAAATGGAAGATTCGTCTTTAGGCGTGATGGATAAGACAGCATTTGCTGCCTATCGTTCGCTACGCCAAATTGCAGATGAATACAAACTCGACGTTGATCCGCCTCGAATCGTTTTTGTTGGTGAGACATCGACAGGTAAATCGATGCTGGTACAAAATTTTCTCGGTTTTCCGTGTACATTTACCAATGATGGTATAGCTACTCGATGTCCAGTAGCCTATCAACTTCGTTACAATCCTGATGCTTTAACACGACGTGTCGTCAAACCAGAAGGTGTTACAACTAAAGAACTTGCTAAACATATTGGGTTGCATATGAAAAAAGTTGAGGTAGAATCTCAGTTTTCAACTGTTCCTTATGAAGTTGAAATTGAGAGTAACACGTATCCGGATATGGAGATTCTTGATGTGCCAGGTCTGGTTGCAGGTCAAGGTGATCCAAATGTACGCGACGCTGTAGAAAAAAGTAAGTTTGCTTCTTCACTTATACAAAGTTTACTTTACTTTTTTAAAAAGTATGTTTGGTTTCCAGATATAGAAAATCCGACAACGTGAGCCGTTAGCGCGCAAGGTTATTTTCATTTGCGTCTAGTCGCGTTCATGATATGCTGAATAATGTAAAAAAAAAGCTTAGTGTTAGTGAGGTTTTCAGAAAAAGCTGTCATACTTAACATAGCTGTACTGAACATTCCATTAGATTTTTGTATTTGATTCAATCTAAAATCTTGAAGGTATGGGTGTAGGAGTACGATTTCCTGATGTACCCATATTCCCAAGATCTATATTTCACCAACAAGAATGAAAATAGCTTTATAAATGAATTCTTTTGTGAAGAAAAATAGACCTGATGAAGGATGTATGTAAAAACTTTGAATTACTATTCATCTATAGTATAATGGATTCAAGTTGACGATCATATAGATTATAATTGGCTAAATGATGTCTAAGAATATGCAGTTTTGGTAAATCTCAAACCGACATTGCATTCAGCCGTGTACTAGAGCACTCACTACAGTGGTACTGACTGTGCCGAATATCTTAATCGGTGTTCACTGAAACGCGAACACTTACTGCCACATCGATGCTTGATAAACAGTAACACACCGACTCTATTAAAATATATGTTTTTGTTAGTTTAATCACTGAAGTTGAGCATCTTATACCTTTGTTTATTCAAAGAAAAACATACGCTATATATATATAGGATGGTAGATCACCCTATTAGGGATGTCTAACAGATAATCAAAAGAACAAGAGGGTGTGAGTGTGGGTGTATGTGTGTGGATACTGTATTCATCTAGCACCCACCCCCACCCATATCCACACCCACACCCATCACCACCCACACCCTCAAGATATAAATTGTATAGTTTTTCAGAAGTCATTCTAATAGATTATTTGCTTGATTTTAGTCACCGAATTCTACGTACGTAATCCGAAATTCGTCATTGTGTTGCTAGTTGATGCCAACCAAGAGTTGGCCAATTATTATGGTGGTCGAACGGTTGCCGATTTATGCACAGGTGCTTTGAACAAAGGTTCTAAGTTGCCACCAAGACTCGATTACAAGGATCATATGTGTACAATTCAAACTAAATTCGATATGTTCACGCGTAACAATCTGAACGGTAGTCGCGCAAACCGAGGCATAAGCGAACGTTTAGCGTCTCAGAGTGACACATATTTTGTTAGTATGATACCTGATGCACGTGTCATGGGCGATGAAAGTTTCAAAAGTAATGAACAATATATGAGCGATCTACCACGGCTCGAAGAAGAGTATGTCAATCAATGGATTCGGGAAATCAATTTAAAGGCAAATAAAGCACCTTCTTTTTACGAAGAATTTAATCGACGATATCGCTCACTAATCGGCATCAATGTTGTGCGACAGCACATTCAGAAACGTTGGTTGAAGGTAATATTTGTTTTTTTAAGCTATCTTAATGTCTATTAACCATTTCAAAAAAGAGAATGAGTAAAACAAACGATAATAACTGCGGAGCGCAAGAAACTAGCTGTGTGAGGTTTGCACTAGTCAAATGAAACGTTTGGGACCCGTAAATATTCAACAAAAAGAAAAATTTTCATCAAATTCCTGAAGATTTTCGAATAGATGTTATGAGTCTGTGTTATGAATTATGACCGAGACTAACCAGAGTGATTGAATACCTCAGAACGGAGAAAAACGATAAACTTCGTGGGACTCCGATTACATATTTTCTGCTAATAGAACAGGGTGTGGGTGTTACTTTTGTTTTCTCATTCACATTCAAAACCACGTTATACATATACCATTACGGTAGTCATATGTGACGAGTTTTTACAGAGGTTGTTTATCATAGTCGTAAGTCATTGTGAAAGATCATACATGATTGCCGTAAATGAACACTGTGAACAGCTATCGTATTCTATCATGATTTAGTGGTATACGATGGTTTATGATCGGGACTAATTAACCTGGATATCAAAAGATTTCGTATAGGTCGAAAATCAAGCAACTCCTTCTCGATCACGAACTAGATTTTCTTGAAAATCTTTTCAGAAATATGTCAGAACTTGATGAAGATTTTTCTTAGTCTTGAATACATACAGGCTCCAAACGTCTATTTTGACGAGTGACAACTATATATGGCTAACTACTTGCATTCCTGAGTTATTGTCGTTTGTTTCATTTATCTTCATTTGTGAAATGAATAATCGTGTGTTGAGGATATTTGTAACATAATATAAGTACGATAGCTAATGCAAGCTGGAAAATGAAAATAAACTAGATTGTTCAATTTATTTTTCTTTAGGCATTTTACCAAGCGGCACCGGTTCTTAACGCAACACTTGGACAACAGCTCATTCATGCTAATCAAAAATACGAAGCCGCATTGAATGAATACAAACTAGCTGATCCGGCTCTAATTCGAAAATCGTATTTGGTGTATTTAGCTGATTTTCAGAAGACACTCGGTCAATATGCTGCATACAAAGCGGAGATCGATTACTTTTTTCCCACACAAAAATATGGTTCTACTTATGCTGAAATCGAAAATGGCTATCGAAATTGGCCACGATGTCAACAACTCGTTTGGCGAGCTCATTTAACCGATACTCAACTTAAAGTCAATGCGAATATAGATGACGTAGATGGTCAAAACTTAATCGACACACTTGATTCGAAATGTGTTGGTGCCAGTCAATTTAGCCGATTGCATAAACTATTCGCCTATATGGTTCTATCGCATAAACCAGAAGAGTTAACTCGAGACGAAATTGTCTCATATGAAACGCACTTATACGGTGGTTCAAGCACGTGTCCAAACACAGAAAAATTGATACGTGACGTCTTGTTTCGACGTATGCGACATACATTTGCTATTGGTATTCCGTGGTTTACTCAGATGCATACCTATTTACTTGATAAGTTTCGAGAAGATGTCACTCGACATTTACTCTCACAAACCCAACATGCGCATCTAGCGAAACATACGGCATTTTTGAGCCTAGTAGAACTTGACTATCATCGAGAGGTGCGCACCATGTTATCTAAAGCTGTCGAAGCTGTACGTCATGCACGTCTCTCTTGTAGTTCCTATATCCAATACGATATAACTGCATGGATCAAAAGGTTAACTTTCCGTATACCAAGTGAAATTCAACATGGATTTTATGCTCAAGTATTACCAAATGTGTTCGTTAAAAATGTCACATCTACAACGAACAGGTCAAGTGGTCAAACTGATTTGTATAGAGAAGCGACTATTGGAGAAATCTTCGCTAGCATTAAAAAACCAAGTTTACTTGATTTCATCTCTGGTTCAGATTCATATTTAACTAGTAAACGTGATTCAAACACTGGCTCACATCACGATAGTGCTCGTAAAACTGCTCAAGAAATTTATGAAGTAACATGTGGTCGACTTGTCAACGATATAGTTAGTCATTTTAATTCGAATGTTGCCATTAAAGTTGTTCACTTTAATGAAGCCAAATCTTTTTCACCTCGATCAATCGCCAACCAACTAAGCCATGCCACTGATATTGATATTGCGCGTATGGCTAATCTCGAATTAGAGAAAATATTGACAGCTCTTGATTACTGGAAACAACAAATTAGTGATCTAACAGAAACGAGCGTACTACTCGATGGACTCGCACAACAACTTGTTGGAGAAAATACGAATAATGATATGAAACCTGATGATTTGAAAGAATATGCAAAAAAAAGTGCACAAATATCTGTAGATCTGCTCGACAGTCAACGACAACGCATCATTAAATCGTTGAATAGATCATTATTGACAGATTCAGAAAGTCAAGCGGATTCAAATGATCCTAAAAATATGATCGATGATACAAATGAAGAAGTGAATGAAGATCGATTTCTCCTTCGTACTGCCGACCGTATGACATCTGAAACATTTCTCCGAAACATCTATCAAGTTCATGATAGAAAGGATGTTCGTGCTTGTTTGCTCGAAGGTGATGATCTCGAACAGGACATCAATGAACCACGCTTCAAATCATCCGTTAGTTCCAATATGAATGAAGCTGATGGAACATTGCAAGAGCCAGAAGTTCGAAGTACATATCGGGATACAGATCTTGCCAAAGATCGCAATATAGGTAATGTACTTGAAAGCTGTCAAAATTATGAAAACTAGCACATTTTGCTCATGATTACCATTGAGCAGTAACTCAAAAGTAAACATGATGATTATGACTTTGACTATACGCCATATTATAAATAATGGTATGCTCGCCTCTCTTTGGCCCCCTTCCCTTGTTCCCAGTCACTTACATCCTAGTCGATGTCCTCTCTATCCTAAGTCCCAAATATTCAAACATACCCCATTATCCGTGATATCGTATGTACTCTAGATCATACTTATCGTTCAGTTGTCATGTAACGTAAGCTATGACTAAATGTGCTAAATCTGGTGCGTCTGATATTGATGAAAATCATTTCTCAGTATGGTATAAATGCAAACGGTAGATATTAAAGTCATTCAGTTTTGCACGAAAAAATGAATATTTCTTTTTAAAAATCTCTGCTGAGACAAGATATGTTTCTACCTAAAGAAAAAGTTGTAATTTTCTTGTTTCATAAAAGCACCACATGGAACTGGAGTATGGTATTATTTTCTCCCTCTAAAAAGAAAGAAAAAAACTAAGGCTGAAGATCTAGTTTAAAATGCTAAGCGATTTTTGTTTTAGTCACGACAGCGAAAAGCACCGAGCCAAAAGCAAGCAGATCTGCAATTACTCAAGGGAAGAACGGTGCAGGCAATACCAATAAGTATGGATCTTCATCTGACGAAGAATAGGCTAGCGTATATAATAAATAAACAAAACTATTCAATCTCCTTTAACAATTTTCAATAAATATAAAAAAAAAGAGAACAATATTTTATTCTTATTCATAATTTCTAGTTTATTATTTGTGTTTATGCGCAATATTTACTTTCTTTATTTTTTACTAATTACTATGCACTACATCAAATAATATTTCTATCCAACGAAATGTGTGTTTACTTGAAAACGTTTTATCTGTTTTTGATTTCGTATGTGAAAAGTTTTCAAACGTATTTTTATGATTTTGTTTCTTTTTTATAATAATAAACAAGTAGATATATACCCACACCAAAAACTAAGGTACGGGTGAGTGTGGGTAATCAAAGAACAATCATTCGCATCCATCACTATAAAGCCAATATTTAGAACACGAGAGATATTTGGAAATTGTATATTTGCACTACAGTCCTTATCATTAAATAAAATATAAGTTCGACTTTTTGATGATCAACAAGTTACAATTAACTGCGTATATATCTACACCATGTTGTTATATTATAGATATAAATAGTTATCGTAAAACGGAAGACAAAAAGCATTTTTTTACGTATACGTTATTTCACTATGTGGATTATTGACACAAGTGTATTTTTATATAACATAGAAGTATAAAGCGTACTACTATAAATTTACTTCTATTTTAAGATAAGAAAACAGATGTGCGTCCGTAAACGGCAAAAAAAGAACTGTATATTGATTTTTTTCTCTATATGAAATATTTTATTGTCTAAATCAACGTTTTAAAAAATTGATTGAATATTAAATGAAAATGCAGATTAATTTTAATTTCATTTCATTGGGAAATTTTTTAGCACTTTTTTTCTCAAATAAATCAATATATAAAAACAGATCAGAACTATCTTCTGTCAATTATAGTCAATAACAAATCTAGATTTAGTTTGATATTAGAAGATGCTTTATTTAAAGATACATTCTTACAATTGAAATTATTATCATTATCAACATCTTCGCCCTCAAGATGATTCATTCATTGAAATTTAATATTCAATATATAATTTGAAAATTTTGAATGGGTATTAACAATGTTTAATGCGTCATTTTTTTTTAAGTTACCCAACAAATAAAACTTTCTCTCTCCCCATTTGGAAATCATTTCTGCTCGCATTTCCGTCGTTTCATTTTATTGTGGAACGCAATTCTGTATATTTATCATGCCATTTTTTTCTGTTGTATCCGTTCTTTAACCTTCATTTTTACACATTGTTTTTCCGTTTGTATCACAACCTCCTGCTTTAAGTTTTGTTTCTTTTTGTTAAAAGTCATAGCATTTTCTGCCTATCTGCACACCCACAGCTACATCTGGCTATTGAATGAATACTCTGTAGTGATAAGAACAGAAGAAAAATATAATGAGAAATGGCATCTGTTGTTAGGTCTACACATTTATGAGCATGATATATACATAGTGTATATAAAAGAGAAAAATCTAGATATATATACAAACATTCATTCATGTTATTTTTACCATTGTGTTACACATTTTACTCTAGATTAAATGATAAATTCTCAGAGAAAAAAATGCTTATTTTGTCATTTAATAATAATCGACATTTGATTAGAGAGATTTCTTAGTTATTTCAACGAGTATTTTCACTCGTTCTAACAGTAGTATCAATTCGATTTTATTATTTATCATCTTTAATTTTGTAATGGCTTGACTCTCCATACATTGTATAAAAGAAAAGCTGCATGCTATGGTAAGTTTATAGTTAATATCTTTTTCGTAATAAAGATTAATATATAATTATGAAAGTAGACAATCGAACTTTATCATTACAATTAGAATCCGTGCTCGAAAATGATGTCTGAAGCATAAGTTAGTTTATAGACAAAAATCATTTTTACTCAGATAATTTTCTGTTTAGAAATTCTATGATATCCGTTCTCTTCACATTTCACGGGTGGCGGTGCGGTTGAAGAGAAGACAGCCACCCACCTAAGCACACACTCTCAAGTTTATATCTTGAATTGTGTGTGCAATGGCAGCCAATTTGATAAATCGTTTATGGCAATCATTTCTTCAATTAAATCTTTTCAAAAAGTCATCGAGTACTGATCAAACTCTTTCAAAAGAACTACTTTCTACTCGTATATATGTCTGTTTATTACTTGTATCTTTAATTGCTGTTGTAATTATTACTTCATTTATGATTCGAACTATTGAGAAAACTGAAGATACACCTTCTCGTACACGATTTTTACAATTAACAAATAGCGATCTAAATACTTTGTATTGTCCATGTTCGAACCATGCTATTACATACAGTACATTTGTTACAACTGAAGTTATTTTTCATCAAGTTTGTTCAAGTGAATTTATTGAACAAATATGGATTGATAAGTTATTTACAAATGAAAACATTTCATTTGAATCTACAGAAGATTTTCGTGTTACTTTGAGTTTCTTTTGGCAAATCATTGTAGGTTTATGTATTGCAAGTCGAAGAAGTTGGGATGATGCTGTAGCAAAATTTAATACATCACGTATTCTCACTCCAACAGTATCTGTCGAAGAAACTATTCGAAGTCAAGTTCAAACAATATTTAATAGTCAAATCGATTCGTCTCAAACAGCACTGGCTCATACTTTGTTTGCCATTCGTCGTATGACTAGTGGAGATCAAAGTGCATCAGCTTTACAAACAAATTTTCATTTACGTATTTTATCATCTGGTTTTATTCGAATGACTCCTCGATTGTTCAATGATTGTTCCTGTTTGAATATTGAAGGTTGTCCACGTCCTGCTACATTTAACGATAGCTATGGACATTTAATCACTATACCAGGAATGATAATGAATTGTTTGATGCTTGATGCTACACTCGCTTCAACACTTGAATGTTATTATAATCAAACATGTCTTTCTCTCTTACATCAATCATTATCTATAGATATAAAACCATTATTAAATAATTCACTGAAACATTTTTCTTCAAAGTCAACAGTAGAAACACTTTTAAATGAATTAATGATTGATAAAATGATAATTAATACTGATTTTGATATACATTATTCACAATGTAATCCTCCATATTGTTCATATTCATATACACGTCGTTTTAATATTGCTTTTATTATTACTACAATCATGGGTATATTTAGTGGCTTATCAATTGGCATAAAATTGTTTGCACCTTTCATTGCCAAAATTATACTACGTCGAAAAAATCGTGTTGTACCAGTTGAAAATGTACCACAGATACACTTATCATGGCAGCATCGATGTAAGTTAGAATTCATTTTCTCTCATTTTCATAACTGAATGAAAGTTGCCACATGTCCACACCTGCAAATGCTAGAGTACATGGTTACAAGTTTAGATTTTTGGACTTAAGACATATAGTAATGGTAGTATGTATATGATTAACGAAATGTTGTGAATAAGATATAGTACGAATTGTATTTGTATGTGTGGATATCTAAATTAAGATTGAAATAAGTTGTTTTTTCACAAAGTAAGTTTCTATCTACATCAGATAATGATGATTTTTTATTCAACTCGGCTACATCGATATTGCGAACATCTATTCTGTCCTTGGGTGCACTAGATTCGAGAATCTCATTATTTAAATAGTGATACACATCATAATTATGATTAAATAAATATCTTGAGGGTGAAAGGAATGTTTATACATTTTCAATTGATTTAAATTTTATTTTTAGTTAATACAATACGGGATCGCATTCGACTTGTACCACAGTCTATTAAAGAAAAAGCCGTTTCTTTAAATCTTTTTGAAAGTTCCAAACCGCGTACTCCTACTAATATATATCGTGAACGACTTTTAACACGACTCTTTATTGTTCTCATCACTATTTCTTCTATTGGTGTTGGATTCTACGTATTTCTCATTAAACAAAATCAATTAGTAACAATTGCTGATCCATCTGTTACTACCTATGAACAATTATATAATGATCATCCAACTACATTACAATGTCCTTGTTCAAACATATCTGTTCCATATGAAGCGTTTCTTAATGTCACATTTACTTTACATCAAGTATGTTCAAGTGACTTAATCTCACCAGCATGGTTACACTATTTGATATTATTCGATCCAACACTTTTACCAGAATGGCCATTGGACAGTTGGTCTACCCGAGACTTTCGGATAATGGGTGCTTCTTATTTTCAACTTTTAGCTGCTTTCTGTTCTATGGCTAAGATTAATATTGACGACGCACAACGTGTATTCAATAATACTAAATTCATAAATGATCGTGTTATTGCTCCATCAATTTTTCGTCAAAAAACTCAAGCAATAATGGATTCATTTATTACCACAACACGCAACAATTTTGTACGTACATTTGATTGGATTAATGTTGCACTTATTGCTAGTCAGTTTTTTAATGGAGGAAACGTTAAATTTGATATTGCTTTAACCATTGATGATCAACTTGTTATCGAATTCACTAATTATCAAATATATACCGTTTTTGCAGAGACAAACGTTGCTTCTAATGACATGTGTAAATGTTCAGTGAACTACAACGTCTGCTTTATTATACCTCTATTATATATAAATGCATCATATTTTGGTAAATTTCCAATACCTTCTTTTTTTAAAATGGTAGATATCGGTTGCACACCATTAACTGGATTTCGAAATTCGAAGATTGGATGGTGGTATAACATTACATATCTAGAATACATTAAAGAAACTTATTCAATCGTTATTAAGTCTCAGCCACCGCCAAATATAAAATCTCTCAATGCATCAATACTCACTCGATTTGAGAATGAAAGAATGCTCAATTTGATTGATGAAATGTTGTTAGAAACAATAATAAGTAATAACACCCATTTTGACCAATTCTATAATGAATGTTTACCTCTATCTTGCACATACACAGATAAACAACGTCGCGGAATTCTAGCATCATTACTTCTTCTTGTTGCTATATGTGGTGGTCTTAACAAAAATTTTCGAATACTTATACCATTGTTTGGTAAACTTATTTTCTCTTGTATTGATTGGTGGAAAAGACGTCATACTCGACGAGGTAAATATATCATCGAATCAACATAAACAATCAGAATAGATTTATATATATGAAAATTGTTTTTTCTTATATCAGTTTTATACTTATTTGATGTTATATGTCTTTGTTTTTCTAGTCATTTCAATAAGTGCTTATCTCAAGCATCTTTTAATTACTACTTATCAATCAATTAAAACTCTCAACTTATTTAAGACTGAAATAACAGAAGAGATATTAATTCGTCAACAACAAATATATACTCGAGTCTATTTAGTTCTTTATATAAGTTCTCTCAGTATATTACTCTTCTATACAGCTCTTGTTAATTTTAATATCGATAAACAATATTACTTATCTTCGATTATGGAATATGATAAATTTTTCATAGATCATCCTTCAGATGATATTACTTGTCCCTGCACACATATATCAATTCCTTATGATAACTTTATCAATGAATTACAAGTCAACGCATTTCATGAAGCATGCACAACAGATGCAATTGATTTAATTTTGACAGCTGGTAATATGATTTAAAAGAATTATTTTCATATCAACTATTAGAAAATATCAGGAATTTATCGATTGATATAGAATAGAACATTGAATTGAAAAGAAAACTTCATTTACAGCATAGTACAAGTTATTATTTTCTATTTAATCGTTCTGATTGAGTAGTACAAGATTTAACATAATAAGTAGAGAGAACACAAAAAAGTAGGTAAAATATCGTTTTCATAGAATGAACTATTTTGACAAATCGAAGTTCAAGTAGAATATATAAAAAATATTTTGTAAAAATTTGTAAATATTTGACGAATCTGTTATATATCTGTATAGGAACGTCGGATTTACTTGATTACGATATCCCTTATGGGAATGATTTTAAAGTATGGAAGCTCTACTTTATCGATTCTTTACAATTACTTTGTTCATTGGCACAAAAAAGTGTTGAAAACAGTATTAATGTTTTTCTCTCTTCGACTATGTTAATCAATCAATTAGAATCTCGTGAACGATTTAAGAACGAAATAAATGATACCATAAATCAATTTCAAAAAAGAGTACCAATCAGTTTTGCTCAAACATTAGATCTTATTCGTATGACTACGCAAGGAAATGCTCTATTATCAATGTTTTTATCGAATTGGAATCTAAGCAGAGCTGGAGTAGACGAAGAAAGAAATACTTCATTTGTTACTATACCTATCATTCATAACAATACAGACCAAAATACAAGTTGTTCTTGTGCTACTTTACAAACTTGCACAATGCCAGTGAATTTATCTAATTCTAAAGGAACGATGATCATTGATGGCATGGTATTTGGCTGCAATTTATTGGAGACAGTATTGCTTTCATCATTATCTTGTTTCTATTCTGAAACTTGCATTATTAATCTACGAAATTTACTAGATGCAATTCCTCCTACTTCACAACGATTAAACGATTCGTTGACACGGTTCAGTGTCAATGATACAATCGAGACAATGGCATATCTAATGTTTATCGAATCATGGACAAGCAATGTATCTTATGAAAATTTTTACGAAAGTTGTTCTCCAAATTATTGTGCCTATACATACCGTTCTCGATTCGATGTACTTGAAATGTTAACTACATTTTTGAGTGTATTTGCTGGTTTGTCTTTTGGAATTCGATTCGTTGTTCCTTATCTTGTGAAAATATTTCAAAAGATCAAACGTCGATTTCGTATCGTACCAACGCAATGATTATATTTATCAAATTTTCTTTGTACTATTTCAACAAAAACATGTCGTTCATTTATTAACTTAAAAGCTTTGATTGTTTGTTTTTTGAAATTAAGAGTATTCTCATTTTTATTTAATTATCACGCTTAAAATTGTGATATCTGTATATATTGCTTTTGCTAGTGAAAAATTCACTTGAGGGTGTGGGTGTGAGTACGAATAAAACAGAATACCCACACCACCCACCTTCGAGATCGATTAACTGTCTTAAGTCTAATTCACAGCATTTTAAGTTAAATACAATAAAAAAAGATGATTGATAAATTAATAATAATCATTACCTGATATTTGATTGATCATAACTAGCAGAATCATGAGAAAAATGTTAAAATTATTTTTCGTCATCATAAAAGACAACATTTTTTGTTTTATATTCATCAATGATAAAGAAAAGTGAAATTATTGTAATCAACTAGACAATTAATATTCTTGTTCAAGAAAAACAAATGAAACTATTTCTTTATTCTTTATATATATCTTTTTTCTCTTCTCATGATCAACAAATATCATCTAGAAAACAATGATATATTTCGAGAGGCAATTCTTTATTGATAATTTTGATTATTACTGTTTAGATTTAATTAATAACTCTTCACATGATTTTATTTTAAAAAGAAAACATCATTATAAATTCAGCTATTTAACAATGAATTTCATTTGAAAATAACTTTTTTTTAGACAAAAGACGTGATAAAAAAATAATAATTCTAGTTAGACATTGTGTTAATATTGGGACGTGATTAAAATCAAAATAAAATATCAATTTCAATGATAAATAGATGATTGACGTCAGTCAAATATATTTTCTAAATAATCAATTTTGTCAGGATTTCATTTTATCACGTTCTTTTATGTTGTTTTTTGATCAATGAACGTCATCAAATTGTTTCCTTCGAAATATTTTTCTAATTAAATATGAACAAAAGAGTTTTTCAAATTTTATTAGTTACATTAATATTGAAAAAAGATACAAATAATTTCCAGTAGATATCTAAGAATGATTTTTATACGTATTAGAGATATTTAGTCATCATGATAACAGGTTGTGTTTTTTTTGCAGGAATTGATAAAGTATATCAATTAATATAAAGTTGGGTGTGGGTGTGGATATATTTATCTTCTCTTAATCCACACTCACACCCGCAGTTTGTGAATAATCTATAAGATAGATTATATCTCACTTAAATAATAGTATCAATCAATGATTCAATATAGTACAGATAAGATCAGTCCGTCAATATAATAATTTTTAGTATTTTTCCTTGAAAATGTCAAAATATAAAATGGATAACGTTTGAAATAGTGAATAAGCATTTATTGAGAACAAATTACATGAAGAAGAAAACAATATTTAAAGATTAAATAATGCAATAAAATGATAATTGTACAAGGATAAAGTATTAGTGATACATCTAAAGAATTGAAAAAAAATATATAATGAATAAAATGTTCATATTTTTGAAATTATTCGATCGATTGATTTTGTTTATTCTAAAAGAAATAGAACTGAAACTAACAAAGAATACATTTCTATTTCATCAAAGTTTTCAGTAAATATTTCGATTTAACATACAACTTTCGTTAACGTATTATTTCAAGTATTCGTCCATTTAGACATAGAAAAAGTTTTATACTAGAATAAATTTTACTAGTTAGACTAAATTCAATGAAGAGTGAGCAAATACTCCCATATATCTGTGACTCGTATTACTCGATAATGAAAATCATTAAGGATATCGTACCTGTTCATATAGAATGATTCTTTCTTTCTTGACGAACATAAATAAATGAAATAAGAATGCCTATTGTCACAAGTATAAACACTGTTAAATCGATGATCCAATAATTTGATGATATCGAAAATAAATTTTCCCTATGAAGACAAGACATTAAGTATCAATATACTACAGAAGAAAAAGAGACATACGATTGTGAAGGCGCAGTGGTATTGTTGATATTATTTGCGTCCATTATTTAGATAGCTGCACCTTCAATAGTAGATATTGGTTCAATCGAACTAATTGTTTTTTTTCGACGTTGATAAATTTTGTTTATAAAATAAACAATTTTCGGAGAGATCCATTTAAGAATGATTGTTAAACCACCATATAAACCAAGTAAATAAATTAGTGTATAGAAAGAATTTAGTTGTTGTATATATGTATATGAACAGATCATTGGTGAACATCGATTAAAATATGATGAATAATTCATTATTGTTGACCATTTTTCAATAAATAAATCGCTGATAAGATTTATCACAGTCATATTCATTAGAAATCGACTATTAGTTATGTTGAGAGGAATCGGAGTAATATTTTTATTGTATCCTGCCATAGTTTGAATAAGATTAATACATGATTGATCATAAAAACATTCGAGAGTTGATGCCAGCAATGATTCACTCGGTGTACAGCCCATTTTCAAACCTTTAACTGTTATAGGTTGTGTTGAATTTATCTTGATAAAAGAAGCATCGACAATACAAGTAGAATTCAATTGACATGAACAGTTATCATCATAGATCATTGCTTGAGTATATAAAGTGGTCGAAAATGTATTATAAACAGAAGCTTTGTATTGGTAATTAGTTCCATACGATGAGACAATTGCATTTCCATGATTTGTAGCTCGAAGTAGCGAAAGTAGACGAATGAATGTTGAAGGAGCATTGGATTTTGTTTCATTGATCATTGAATTAATATGTAAATTAAAATTCTCTTCTGATAATAATTGTTTAGTAATCAATAGTGAAGATAAAGATTGTTGAATAGATTGATTTACTATTTGCATGGAGAGTTGGCATAATCCATTTAAAAATTGTAAATGAGTCGAGAGAAATAGACGATAATCTCTTTGATTATAAGCAGACAAATTAGAAATTAAATTTGCTGTAATATTTAATCTCCATTCATTTGAAATCAAATCACTTGAACAAATCTATTAGAAAAAAAATAATATAGCAAAACGAAAGAAAATCGTTCTTACCTGATGAAATATTGGTTGAATTTGAACATATTCATCATATGGAGATGAAATCACTGAACATGGATATTCAAGTTCATCACTATAATCATTCATTAGATTCTTATCAAAATTTAATGATGGTGTTGAACAGGATTTGGTCAATGTTTGTGGTTGAATAATTGTATAAAGAGTTAAAATGACAAAAATGATGCTTAAAAGAGTAAGATAAAGACGAGTTGACCATTGACCAAGATGTTTCATCGTTATTCGATCGATCTTACTTCCGAATATTCGTGCAGGAAATATATTTAAATTCAACACTTTTATAGATAAAAATGTTTTCAGTTTAGACAACAACATCTTGAATCGATCAAGTAATTTTCGACGAACTATAATTTGAAGATAAGATCAATATTATATGTTATTATTAATTACCTTGTTGACCTTGATTCGTTTTTGTTCGTAATAAACTAAAAACAATCTTGACGAATTGGAATGTAATTAGTCGTAATGCCATAACAAGACCACCCACCGTAGAAATCAGTGTCACTAATAATTCGGTGAAACTTGTTGTATGTTTTATTTGAGTATAAGTACAATAAGTTGGTGCACATGCTTCATAATAATCAGAAAATGACAATGCTGTATTCCATTGTTCAATCATCATTTCTTCAACTATCGATGAAACTGAAGTATCTGGAGGAAATCGAGTTGATGATTGGTTATAGATTAATGCATGTGCATATAAATTTGGATTGTTTGCAGACGCCGGATATGTTTTGTTTATATAATAGAAAAGTTGGTTCATACAATCGGAATTTGTATAGAAACATTGAAGGGTTGATAGAAGGAGTAAATCAATAGTATAACATCCGTTAACCAATCCAGGTGCCACATAATTAGTGGCGACATATGTTGGACGAGAACCAGGTAATCCTATAATATTAGTTATATGATCAATTGCGAAAGTGATTGGTCCTTGACATTTGGGATCAACAGCACATTGACATATTGGGCTGTTCGAAACCGAAATAGTATTGAAACGAAATTTAAACTAAACAAACAGAAAATAATTAAAATTCCATTAAACAAGATTTGGATATAGTCTTAAACTTATTCTTGATTTAAATTATATTGACTAAAAGAAATTCAAACATTTCTGCTAAGAATCTTCCTAACTCTAGCTGTGAATATATGTATATTGAAAGGCATTGTTTAATTCTTCGAGTACATTAGTAAAGGAGAAAAAGAAATGTGAGAATTCTTTGAATATATACATACTTGTAGTGCTTGTGGATTATTAGTACCGGCTGTAGTATTTATATAATTAAGTGCGACTTGGGAATTCGGTGATACTATTATTGGCTGATCAGCCTGAATGAAAAGACGTGTCATAATATTGAAAAGGTTAAAATTGATCACAACTGATTCGGTCAGTTGCTTGACAGTTGCATTTACTTGAATGTTGAAGTCGGTTTCGATAAGCACAATGGAAGTAACAAAAGTGCGTGCGAAAAAATCATGAATATTATCAGCAGCTGTCAACTTAGCTTGTTGACAAATAGTGGACAGTAATCCAAAGTATTGAGCTGCTTTACTAATCCATGTGCCACTGATTACATCCGCTGAAGCGCTATTCGCTAGTAGTGAAATCCATGATGCGCTAATTAAATCACTTGAGCATACTTGATGAAAAATGGGAGATAATGTAACAAATGTCTTATAAGGCATTGTAGTATTTGCACAAGGGCATGTAAGTGTATCTGGATATAGGCTTTGTAATTGTTTGTAATTAGTTAATGATGGATTTTGTTCAATGTTTGTAACTGTCTGACTCGTAAGTGAAGTAAATCGAAGAAGACAAAGAACTGAACCTAGAATAAAGAAAAAATACTTAGGTCTTGATAATACTACATCAATGCAAAGAGGGAAAATCTGGATAAAACAATGTCGATCTCATAATCAAAATCATCATTGTTTCGTCCTTGATTCTAACATCATTTCACTAAGTAGGTCGCACCGGATGTAAATCAAGATACGTACCTGCCAATAAAATGAGAAAACAATATGTGCTGATACGCTGTTGTTTGATATCATCCACTGTTCTATTCGCAGCTGATTTGAATATGTTCAACTGTTTCATCCACTGAGTTAAGTTACGAATAGATAATAAATAATACTCTAGAATTTTAAAAATACGTATCATTTTATAGATCAACATTATTTTTATTATCAACAAAACATACCACAGTTAAAAACGATTTTTATTGAACGATATCGAATTTTCCATATAATCTTGACCAACAAAGGTGCAATTAACCGAAGAATAACAGTCAAACCACCATAAAAACTGATTAAAATAGGCAGGATCGATGATACATTGGTAGAATATGTACGCACTAAAGGAGCACATTGATTAAAGTAGTTTGTGTAGCTGATTTCAGTTGACCATTGTTCAATAAACAAATCAGAGACAAGATCGTTTACAGAAATATTTCGTCGACTAGAAGATAGGGGTAGATCAATCAATTTGACTTTTGACTAGAAGAAAAGAATTGCTTAAATATTTATCAAATTAAATATATTATACTTGATTAAGAGCTGGAAAATAATTGAATAAAATTTCTAGACATTGAACATTGTACAAACAGTCAAGTGTACTCGCAAGAACAGCATCCAGAGGAAAACATCCTCCGAAGAATCCGTCAACGTCTGCAGAAATAAGTGAATAACCAGTGGCACCAATGGAAATAGGCCAATATACATGATCAACTACGTCCGTATCTAACGGTTGAGCATAGAAAACAGCTGGAGTTACCATGTTCGTTTCAGTGCAACTTAAAGCGCTTGATCCGAGACTATAAGTATTGTTTGGGTTCACTTGATACGTAGAAGAGATCGATGCTGCATAAGAGCTTATTTGAACAACTGCATTCGTCCAAAAAGCAGACACGAGAGTATTGGAACGATACATCATTTGGACAAGTTGTAGCAATGAAGTAACTTGAGCATGTGCTGTTGCTTGAACAAGTTCAACCATGGCTTTTACTTGCAATTGAATATCTTCTTCTTCGAGAAGTTTAACTGTAACAAGCTGACTATTTTGAATATCTAATAGTGCTTTTGAAACTGCATCTTCCGAGATTGAACAAAGAGCAGCTAACAATTCGAACTAGAAACAGAACAATAGATTGAGGGTGTGGGTATAGGTATGATATCATATTTATATCGCATTTGCATCCACACCCACCTACATGAATACTGTAAATATCTCTTTATTTTATCGTAATAATTTGCTGTCATTAATATTTTTTCTTTAAATAAAAATAGAAGATATGTTTTCAACTCACCTGCGAAAATGCCGTTGTCCGAAAATCATTCAACAAGTATGCATTTGCCACTGGTAGATAAAATGCTTCAATCCATTCTCTACTAACAAAACCGCTCGAACATACAGGATGAAATGAGACCATATTAGTAACGAAGGTACTATAAGGTATGGTAATACTTGAACATGGATATGAGTGTGTTCCATCATGTTCATGATGAAGTTGATCATAGAGCAATGGAGTTAGATTTGAAATGGTAACGATACGACTTATTGGACTTAACAATGCGATGAAGAACAATACGTAAAGAGAAACTAGAAACAAAAAGATGACCGAATAAAAAGCATTACACTATTATTCAGGTGATACTATATAAGCTTCTATTTTATTCACTTACTAATGACAAGGAAAACGTAGAGCCATGTAGAATGTTTCTGTTGCTTGCCACGTATTGCTGGATCTATTGGCTGATCATTGTCATCCTCATAGTGATCTTCGTCTGGTATAAACAGATTGTAATTATGTATATAATCACGAAACCATGAAATAAAATTTCTGATTCCCATTCTTAATACAAGCCTATTATCTAAAAATCGAAACAAAATGTCGATGTAAGAAAAGATACTTATAAAAATGAAATCGACTATCAAACATCACAAAGAATATTTTAGATTACATTGTAGTTTACTGAAAAATTTAATTGAAAAAAGTTTTTATAGAGATAAATATCCTTTTCTAATGGATGCCAAGTCATGCACAATGTGATGATTATCATTGAATTGAATTATGTCTGAATATGTTGTATTTATTTATATGATTTAGAAAGGAAATTGCTTTATTTCATCGAATAGATTTTATTTTTATTTTAATAGTTCGCTTGAATGCTTCTGTTATAATAATATCCGTCATTTACTTTCGAGAATATTTCTAATTACTAAGAAAATGTATAGATCTGACTGAGAGAAAAATCTTTGAGAAGAAATTACATTTCAAGTTTAGCACGTATAATAGAACATAAACTATTTAGAATCTCTTTTGAATCACAACAAAAGTCATGTGTGGATATATCAAAGTCGAGTTTGTAGCTCAAGATTCAAATAGTTACTTTAAGTTAGATATAACTGACAGATAATATACAAAAAAAATCAATATTCATTCGATTTCTTGATATAAATATATTATCCTTTGTAATAATATCTACTTACCTTATTATCAATACGAGAGTTTTATAGTGAAAAATATTAAGACACAATATCATTGAAGAAAAAAAATCTTTCTCAACTTCTCGTTTTTTGAAAAAAAACATTTAAATGAGCATTAGTAAATATTCTAGAAAAACGTAGATAGAATAAATAATAGAATACAGAGAGAGAGAGAGACATAAGAACACTGGGAAGAAAATCTACGAAAAAATATAGAAAAAATTATTTTAACAAGTAATTAGAACAATACGAGAGAAAAAATACATTTAATAAGTTTCGTAATGAAGCAGAAAAAAGCATGACAAAAAATAAAAGTATAATGGAATATTTCAATAGGCACTAGAAAAATTGATTATATTCATAAAAAGAATGTTTATGGAAGATATACCGGGTGGCTCAAAATCATGTATGAAACAATTAGGTGTTCGTACTGCCTTAGAAGAAAATTATAAACGAAACAATTTTTAAAAATTTCATATATATATATGGTTCACTATACAGGTTTTTACTCTCATCACGATGGTTAAAGTCGAGTGCTATATTGTTCTATATAGGTGGTAAATAGTTCTACATAATAGTCTTTGTTGTTTTTTGATTGTGCTGTTTATTTGAAAGATGTATTTAAGCATTTAGAAAGTGTAGTTTCATAAAAATAATAAACTACGAGAGAAAACAATTAACGACGCTATCGTATTTCACAATATAATCGAGCAAAAATGAAGCGAATGACAAAAAAGAGAAGAGCAAGGGAAGAAACAAATAAAAAAGACTAGGGTCCGAGTGAGGATCGATGTAGGTGTAAGTGTTGATATATAATCTACAAAAGACTAGATAGGTTTGCCAGAATGACGTTTCATTAGTGATATATGGTGAAATTTGGCCTACTGAATCAGTTCTAGTAAGAAAGATATGAACGATAAAATATTCTTAAATCTATACAGTTTTACTCACATTTCCATGCTGAATCTGAATAAATTAGTTTCAGACACTTAATACTGTTACAAATGAACTAAATTTCGAAATTTTATAGAAAAATGATTAATAAATCATGTTTATAGGCTATTTTTTAAAAACTTTCATCTAGAATGCGACCAAAAAATGTTTTAAAGGTGATATTTGTGACCAGCTCGACGAGCTCTATTTAACCATGTAAACATATAAAGAAAAGAATTTGCTTACGCTTTGACCTGGGAGCATCTTATATTAATAAAGAAATATGTGTACAGGAACTCTTCCTTTTCTTCTGTATATTTTCATTCTTTTTTTTCCTAATTTTTGTTGTCTCTCTGATATTGATTCATTATTCTATTTCAATCAGTTTTTTCCTTAACATTGTTTTTCGAATATTTATAAAATACACGACAGATTTATGCGAGAACTTTTCTATCAATACGCATATATTAGACAGGAAGTAAAAAGTCGATTTTAATGGATTTTTACTTATTAACTTATAAGAGTTTAGGTGTTAGTTGATTAATGAGTTGAAATAATATTTTGAATTAATTTTATTTGAAATTATAAAATACAACATTTCAGATGAGATTCATTGAAGTTGAATCGAATTCTTATTGTATTTTGAGGATGATTGAATGCGAGTGTAATTGCCAGTTGATCATGATATTCTCACATCTACAGTCACAACCCATCATCAAGATGTTTTATCATGATCAGCGCAGTACCTCCTGTGTCTAGATTTTTTCGGTCAAAGTTTTCCTTTCTAGTTATCCTATATCCTAAAAAACTGAGTATAAAAAATAGAAAATAGGATATTTGTCTGATTTTTGATCGGCGCAAAATGAATAAATAAGAAGAGTGTGGGTTGTGCATGAATTCGCACCCATACCCACACCCTCAAGATTCGACTGACATATTATTATATATGCCATATATAATCTTTTCATTCAAATATATTGAACACTCTCAAGAACAATGAAGCATCCTCCACACAAACAAAATTAGTCAAACCAACGAGAGTCACTCGATGCTAGAAAAACACTTCTTTGATCGACATCAAAATAGAATCGATCTCATGTCACTTTGTAGCAAATTACCGAAAATTTGTTTCATTTTATCCTTGATGCTGATGTATCTACGGTATCTAAGATCGATTGTAGTGAGTGTCTGTGTCAAATTATCATCTTAGATATGTGATAGATGGGTAAGGCAATTATCTTACTGTATTCCTTTTTAACGCAGTAGCTAGATGTTGCATCCCTTCGACACCAATGTTGTGGAAAAAAAGAATGAGTGTAGTGAGTGTCTATGTCGAATAATCATGATGTATGTGATAGAAAGATAAAGAAATTATCTTACTGTATTCGTTTGTAAGGCATCAGCTAGATGTTGTGCCCCTTTATCACCGAACTCATTGTTAGAAAGGTCGAGTGTGATGAGTGTCTGTGTCAAATGATTATGTTAGATACGTGATAGATCAGTAAAGCAATTGTGTTACCGTATTTCTTTTTAACGCACTAGCTAGATGTTGTACCCCTTCATCCTGGATCTCGTTATTTGAAAGAACGAGTGTGATGAGTGTCTATGGAAAATGATCGTTTTAAATATGGCTGGATAAATAAAGAAATTGTCTTACTGCATTCGTTTGTAATCCGGTAGCTAGATATTGTGCCCCATCATCAGCGATGCAGTTGGCATTGAGGTCGAGTGTAGTGAGTTGCTATGTCAAACGATTACTTTATATATCGGTGAAAAAATAAAGAAACTGTCTTACTGTATTCGTTTTTAAAGCATCAGCTAGATGTTGCATCCCTTCGACACCAATGTTGTTGAAAGAAAGAGTGAGTGTCGTGAGTGTCTATATCAAATGATCATGTACGATATGTGACAGATCAGTAAAGCATTTGTATTACTGTATTCGTTTTTAAAGCAGTAGCTAGATGTTGCACCCCTTTATTACGGATACTGTTGTGCGAAAGATCGAGTGTGGTAAGTGTCTACGCCACATGATCATTTGAGGTCTGGGTGGACTAGTAAATAAATTTTCTTACTGTATTCTTTTGTAAGGCATCAGCTAGATGTTTTGCCTGTTCAGGGAGCATGCTGTTGCGCGGAAGATTGAGTGAAATGATTGTCTGTGTCAAATAATGATATTGGATATCTGAATAAATGAATTGTCTTACTGTATTCATTTGTAGGATAATAAATAAACGTAGTAGTAGCCGCTCGCGGAACGTGCAACGTTTCAAATCCAGAGTGGTACATGTCTACGTGAAATAAAATGTGAAAAGGAAACCGTTGAACTAGTTACGTAGTTTTGGATGTAATTTATCTTCGTATGATACTATGATAAATTAACAAGGCATTCTATTCGATATTTTTGTTCTGAATTTTAAGCTGTTCAAAATGAAACTTGTACAGACGTCTCATCATACTAAAGGCGTGTAAAATGAAAAAACTATTTAAAAAACGGCTAAGCGTATCAAGTTATCCTTTCGTTTATAAGGGTGTCTCGGTGTGCTCTTTCTTTTGTCTAACAGACATTTTCGTCTAAAACGCTTGGAAGTAGATTTTCTAGAAAATTATGGCTTCGGGACCAATGGTCACGAAAGTTCTTTTTGTCTCTATTTTCCCTAATAATGTAGGTATTTTGTATTATAAGTTTAAAATATCAGCGACCGTTCGCTTGTATGTACGAAGTTGTGGCTATTTTAACCTTGCTAGCTTGGTGATGCAAGCTTTCCTTTGACGCAAAAATATCTAGTCTTTTCAACTTACAATACAAACACCTCCATTATCAAAGAAAGTAGAAGGAAAATGGCATTTATCCTTCACCAAATTTGATGTAGTTCGGACAAACTACGTCGTAGAGAGCTCGGCGACATCTCATTTTGTAGAGAATTGGTTACTCTGTCATTAAAGAAGACCTGCTTCCGATTGTTTTAGATCAAAGTGCCTGCTCAGCAAAAGAAAGTGCAGGTCGCGAAATCGCTATAAATGAAATGACAACTGGATACAGTCTTGCTAATGTCACATGATTTAACAGTTTTAGAAAAAACTCAATTTGTCTAAAAGCAACCCCTCCGTCAACGGGTTAATCTTATGATAAACGATATTTCTGTCTTTTAGACTTTTTCTGTAACGCATAAGACATTTATGCATCATGAATGGTTTGTTATTTTCAAATATGATCGTTTTTACGGGTGCCTAATATCTGAAAAAAAAACTCGTTCTAATTGACAAAAAAATATCTTTGACGTCGAGGTGGGTCACGAAAAAGTGTCCCATGTCGAACTCTGGAGTGTATAACAATGTGAGAGAGGATTTGTTTTAGAAAAAAAGTTATTTTTATTTAAAACAATAACAATAAACTCTCGACGTTACATAGAATAATTCACAAAACAGATCACTGCAAATCAAGTCATCTAAAATAGTTTCATTTTCATACACTAACAACTCATTTTTGATCAAAATGCTAATGGCCTAGAAAATCTGTAATCTTTGTTCAATCTTTCCAAAACTAGTATCAATAAGTACAAGAAACTGTCACTAGTGATTAGGAGTGTAACTTTAAAAAATAAATATAAAATCAAGAATAAAGAATAAGCTTTTTTTTGTCAGAGTAAGCTAGATGAATGGTTAGCATCACAATAGATAAACATGTATCAAGACCAACCGCCTTAGTTAGTCTCAATTTCTGTGCGGGTGTCGGTCAAAATCACAGAATCGGTTAATTTGTGAGTATCATTTTTTCTCAGGAAAGCCTATTTTAAGAAAATCATGAATTTTGTTAAAACTTTAACAGAGGTTTGAAGGAGCCGAGGATTCTAAATTCGGAGTTAGTTTCTGTAAAAAGAAATATTTTATTTTTAGAAAGCAATTATGGGTTCGAGATCATCGACCCCGAGAAAACCTTTGGTCAAGTTTTATTAAAAATAGTGATTTTTTCAAAATAGGCTTCTTTGGATCAAGAAATGAGAGTCCCATTCAATTCTTGTACCCCGAAAAGTTCTGTAAAAATTCTCTATTTTCTGAATATACGCTTTACGAAAAGAAAAAAATCCAAGTCACAAATTTAATGTCATTTGTGATTTAGGCCTAGATCGAACTTTACCTGATATGGATTATAACAGTCTGTAATTTCGTTGAGCCTTCTACATACATCACGGCATGACAGGAGGATTGATAATGGATCCAAGTTGTCCAGAATACGAAACACCATCTCCACAGGTAAAGTGTGAAGAGATAAATTTGCCGTGTCAAACATTCTTGTTTTCGAAATTTGTGTTTTTTGTAGAGTCTATGTGAGCGTTGATATATATTTTCTCTTTTTTAATATATTCGAGTGTGAATAATGTGCGAGACAAGTTTATTGTTGTACAGAACTGAAAAAGTATGACGAAAGGATGAAATAGAGAGGCATGATTCATTTCGAATTCGAAAGTAAATTCTTATGCCTGAAGTATTGCGTTAAGTGGACAAACGGGTATATAAATAGCTAGGTATACTTACGATGGAAATTAATACTGGGATATATTGAAGTTGTTTTTATGTATGTAGGGAGCAAGCTACCTTGCTTATTTATATTCAATAAAGTTACTTGGTTTTTTCTAAGTAATGTTTATTAACGTGAATCAATGGACCGTGCTATTTCATACACACGTTGACGAGATGGTCATGAATACATGTCTTTCACGCACGTTTTTTTTCATAACGCTGCACTATACAGTTTTGTCTTTCCTTTCCATTTTTTGCTTGAGATAAAAAAAATAACGGTGCATATTTTTACGACATAGTCCTCTTATTGGGGATTTTATTTCGTAGAGGCTTCAACACAGATTATTAAATAATATTGTGAATCCGAAAATTTTGAATGGTTTTGAGAATATTCACTATGCGTTTTCCCATAAATTATAACAATTTAATAAGAAATAGCAACAGGAAGTAAAACGAGTTTTACCAGTAGACCGGCAAAAAACAGGTAGACTGGGAAGATATTACATTTATCGATCAACTATTTCGTCTTCACAAACTTACTGTCCGTTTGAAATGGCATTACACATATGATGAAAACACCATCAAAATACTTCTTTGCTTTTACTTTTCTTGTTTCTTGAGAGTGTGGGTGTGGGTGTGAATTAAGAGAATTTAAGTTTATCCGCACCCACACCCTCAATTCTTTTTTTCCTATGTTTTGTTATATCTTTGATATTGATTCATTACTCTATTTCAATCAGTTTTCGAATATTTATAAAATACACTATTGATTTACGCAAGAACTTTTTTATCAATACGCATATTAGAAACGAGATAAAAAAAATCGATTTTAATGGACTTTTACTTGTTAACTTATAAATTCTATGAAAAATAAACTTAAACCATCTTAAAGGATTTGAGTCTAGATGTTAGTTGATTATAATACTCTCGTATCTATAGTTACAGCCCATCCTCAAGATGGCTTATCATTATCAAGGTAGTACTCTTTAGTATTATTTATAATTTGTCACGCACATGCATTATACATGGTACGTTGCCTAAAAGGTTTTCTCTTGTTAACTAATTGCTTGTTTCTAATAATATCTAATTATTTTAACACATCAATAAAAGTTTATATGAGATGAAAGAATTAACACTAATTGTGACGTCATTTTCATATTTGCACTCTATAATGAAGAATAACACACTTTTAATCCACATCATTGGTCCTTAATTAATGTAACACAATAATTTTTTATTCTTTTTATATACAGGAAGGATGTAAGAAAACAATGTAGAAAAAAGTAGAAATTCTATCTCTAGTATATATATTAGTGCTCTGACGACAATGCAAGATATGAAAAAAAACGTTTCAGTTTAGTGAGTGCAATTGAATCGATGTCTGATACGACTGCAGCAACGTTGGCTATCATACAAGCCATTCAGAATGCTCAGCTTGCTCTTGTTCGAATAACCACACCAATTTTGCTTATTCTTGGCAATATTGGCGAGATTCTAAACATTATCATTTTTGTTCAGCATGTCTTTCGAACTAATTCTTGTGCCATATATTTCCTTGCTGCTTCATGTACACAATTGTTCTTTATCAACTGCACTATTCTTCTCAATGGTCTTTCTCTCGGTAAGTTTGCAAACATTTGATGATCTATATACTTATTATGATTATGTAGGCTATAATGTCGATCCAGCGCAAACATCGCTGGCCTTTTGCAAGATCAAGTTCTATCTTACATATATTACGGCTATTCTACCACCAAGTTTTATGGTTTTAGCTTGTATCGATCGATTGTTATTGAGCTCACGAAGTGCGACAGCACGTTCATGGAGTCAACCACGATTTGCCTATCGATCGATAGGTTGTGTATCTCTATTCTGGATACTCTTTTCCATTCATAGTTTATTTGGCTCCACCATTTTTTCAAGATTAGGCTATACACAGTGTTACATTCAGCCAGGTTCCTATACACTCTTTGTAGCTTTATATTCAATCATCATCAATTATTTTTTACCACCAACACTCATGGCTATCTTTGGTTTACTTACCATTGCTAATATTCGACAAACACAAAGACGAATTCATCCAATGACAAGAGCTGGGTATTTGCATCGAAAAGATCGACATCTTTTACGCATGTTACTTTTTCAAGTACTGGTCAATATTATATGTGCGATACCAGGAGGAGGTTATCAGGTATGAGTTGCTTCAATTTTGCCATATTAGAAAGTAACATAACAATCTGTTATTTTAGTTGTATAATGTAGTATCAACCAATTGGCAAAAGAGCGCTGTTCAAAACACTTGGGAGTTGTTTTTCTATGCATTGGCATTAACTCTGTTCTACATTCCGAACTGTACTGGCTTCTACATTTATACTCTAACAGCGAGTATATTTAGGCAAGAACTCAAGCGAATAATAATACAATGCTATCGTCATTTCTTTCCTCGGAAACAAACACGAACAGCAGCGGTGATGACCACTGGCATATAAACACAAAATGGAACTTATCTTATATATTATTTTATTCAAACTGTTCTTTTTCTGTCAATATATTGTATCTTTTTGTTGTCTGTATGTTCCATTTAGCTAAATGTACTTATCATAAAATGTTCTATCTGAAAATGAAAAATTCTATTGTCAAAAAAAAATATATTTATTTTTCAAAAGATTCTTCATGTGATCCTCTGTCAAACTGATTTGCTTGCTAAACGTCGAAAAAAAAGTCGAAATTGAAAAAAGTCGAAAAGCAAAATGTCGAAAGAAGAAAATGTCGAAAATACTTAGATGTCGTCATTGACCAGTATCGATGTTTGTTCTAATCATTTTTCTCGTATTTTCTTTTGGCTTCTTCTAAAATCGTTATGTCAACTAGTCAGAGTCTGGGTGTGGGTTAAGAGACGATTAACACCCACACTCACACTCAAACCTACACCCGCACCCACACCCACACCCTGTCATATATGATTCGATGCATACTCATTCATCTTTTTTCCACATGATCATTAATGTTCCCGTTATATGCCACAAGTATTTATTATTTTCTTATTACTTATTACTAGCAGAGATGTCCATCGCGGTTGAGAATCTGCCGCTGCCGCGCCGCGCCGATATTGTAAAAAAGCTAACGCGCCGCTGCCGCGCCGCTGCCGCGCCGCGACTATAATAAAAAGAAGTGTGCCGCGGCGCTGCCGCACCGCGCTCCTGTAAAAAGTTGCCGCTACCGCGACAGTATGATAAAAGTTGCTGCCGCGCCGCCGCAGTTTTGGAAAAAAATCTGCCGCTGCCGCCGTGGCGTTCGCGGCGCAGCAGCGGTAGCAGCACCGCCGCCATGGACATCTCTGATTTCTAGTAACAAGTAATAGAAAATAAAAGTAACGTAGCATCTCTACTTCTTGTATAGATTCGATAAAAAAAAACATTAAGAAGAATTCTTTTTCTTCTATTGCAGGTAAAAATATTCTACGCAACCTTGTATATTGGATTTTTCTCTTTCATCTGTTCTCTTGTTTTTCTTCCTTGTTTTTCTTTCACCCCTTTTATTAACCATTTTACCCACGTCATGACACATTATATATACTCGTGCAAAGTATCAAAATTTGCATTTGTTGATTACTTTCACACTTTTATACCTTTAACTTTACCTTCAATAAATTCATTCTTTTTTTTCTTTTATATATATGCAAGCATCTTAAAATAGATAAATTATTACTCATACTCGACTAATATATGCCGTCCATTATTTTGCCCCTGGTATTTGTATTTTTAACTAATTTTCTCATTCAACCATTGGTATGCGTTTTGCCTACTGATTTACCAAATGTTGAGCTTGATGATATTGGATTACTACAATATGAATTTCCATCAATGATTGGCAAAATCAAAATGATTGGTAGGTTTTAAAAATTGATTATATAAAGTTCATTCGAGTTGTTTTTTTTCGCTAGTAAATCAACTTCATTGTCCAAAAGGATGGGAACATTTTGGTGGTTCATGTTATTATTTATCTAAAATTAAATCAATATCAACTCAAGCTAATCATACATGTAGTATTCTAAATTCAAATCTAATGCAAATACGAAATACAATTGAATTATTTTATGCATCTTATATTTTAACTAAAAATAATTTATCTACATTAATGATTCATATCGAACCAAATTTATTAAAAGGTAACCAAATATTTTTCTTTCGATTTCGTTTTGTTATCTTAGAAGAAAAACCATTTTAGGAATTTTAATAGATGATCAAGATCAATGGCAACTTATGAAAAACAAATTTCGTGAATTATTTATTCGAGATTATAAATTAAAAGAAAAATTTATTGATGAATTGAATGAAGCTGGTTTGCGTATATCAAAACGTTCAAAAAAAATAAAACAAACTGTTACAAATTCAGATACTTATAATGATCATAATGATGAATATGAATATGATAATCTGGATTTAGCAGATGAAAAACAAATGAATAATATTCAAGGAATATGCGATCGATTAGAATGGAATTTTATAAATAATGGTTCTACAGTTTATATATTAAAAACTTCTTTAATATCAAATAAAATGATTTGTTCATTGAGTAATGTCGAATCTAATATTGAATATAAACATATTTGTGAAACAGGTTTGTAATTTTTTTGATTATGAAATGAATCATCTCTTTTATACCTAATCATTCTATAGTACTCAATTTCTGCTTTGAAAATAACAAATGTGGCAAACATGGTCGCTGTATAAATACATTATCATCTTTTAAATGTTCTTGTTCATTTCTATACGATGGTCTTCTTTGTGAAAGAAGTAAGATTTATTTTTTTGCAAAAGAAAATATATCAGTATTTCTTAGTCTCAAGCCAAGGTAGACAAATCATAATTGGTCTTATTCTTATTTTTGTACTTTATGGATTATCAAGACAACCAATTCGACGGGGACTCGTATTCATTGTTAGAACATTTATTAAGTAAGTTTATCAAATTAATGGATAATAATTATGATTTATCTGTTTTTATCATAGTTTTTGTAGATGCCGTTTTAAAATACATCAACATAAAAAACGAAATAAAGAAAATAACACTGAAAATCATGAAGAGGAGCAAAAACTATATAATATGAATCAAGCTCGTCAAATTGTTTCTGTAGAAAAAAGACGATTAACGTAAGTTATTGTATTATAGTATAACCTCTCTATAGTGGTCACTTTTGGAAGGTTTTCGATTTTTTGTTATGAAATCATCGTTACAATTACTACAGTGTATCGCTTCATGAGTAGACAAATAAATATGTTCAATTCTTTCTTTTAGTTTATCAGAAACATCTCCTCGAAAGAAACGTTCTCTTGCTCGATTTATTTGGGTTGGTGGATTAAGTATATTCTTTTTAGTATTATTGCTTTCTCTAACAGCAACAGTACAATTAACATTATTTAAACATGATACAGTTAATGATACAGTTAAATTAGAAACAAAATGTAAAATTCTATCAAATAATAAAATGACAACTTACGCATTTGCTCCATTAGCACTTGCTTTAATAATCATTTTTTCTTGGACAATTAAACGAGAAAACAAATGTCTACATTTACGTAATGATCGATCAGCTAAAATTTTTTTAAATATTTTATAGAGTTTTTTCATAGGTTTAATATCACCAATTGAACCATTCCGGATAGAAAATCGTTTTACGACAGCAACAGTTTTTGGACTTCTTGCATTTGAATTATTACAAAAATTTGAAGGATTGTTATTTAATGGAATGAATCTATTAAATGATGGTATACTGACTGCATTATTAGAAATAGTAACTATTGTTCTTATTGGGTAAAAAATATTTTAGAAATGAAGAAAAACTAAGTAATGTTATTTGCTTTAGATTGCGATATTATCCCATACTTGCTTCATTACAATTACGTAATATTATTGGGCGATTTTTAATCTGTTTATATATATTAGGTAATATTATCTATACAATCATACGAGAAGGAGCATGTATGAGTTCTTTACCTATGTCAAAATTTGATTCAATTTCAAAAGAAACTAAACTTCCAACAGTATGTTAAAGAATTACTTGATATTGATAAATAAATTTCTAATTAAATCTTCTTTAGGAACTTAATACAAAATTCTTTATTATTTTTGGTTTAATAAAAAATATTCCATATTTTATTTTACTTTCATATATTACTGCTGAATTATTTCTACGTTTTGCATATGATTCCATATATATTCCAATTAAGAAAAACCAAAGTATATGGTCATCATCTATTACACAATCTGATGAATATTCATTTGCAAAATATTATGTAACAAAATTATTTCGAAGAAATCCTTCTTTTAATCAACAAGTCTATTCAAAAGATGAATCATATATTAAAAAATGTCTTCATTCAATTTATCATTGGAATAATGATTTTCATTTTACAACAATCGCTATATGTACATACACAGTAGCTATTATTTTTCTCTATTATTTATCATATACAATTATTTTTCTATATATACCATTTGTAAACTATTATACTGGAACAATATTTAATATTAGTAAGACATTTTATCTTTATTCATTGGAATTTATAGTCATAAGTGCAGTTATTACGAGTGGGATAATCTCACTTCAATTGTTTAGTGGAATAAAGAATTATGAAAAACATAAGTTACAATTATTTAAAGGTATACATGTAGATATTCCACCAGCAGTTAATTTAAAACCAAATACAATCCTATTAAAATCACTTTCTTATTTTGGTTTTCTTGTTGGTCATATGGCATGTGGCTTTATAATATTCTTTCATATGATCATTTTCATATTTTATGCAATTCAAATAATATCTTTACATATACCTTATATTGAATTATTACTTAATGTAATTGTACCTGTATTTATTCTTTATCTATTAATAATGGTTGGTAGATCCACAGTTGAAAAATATTTTTTTATTCAAAATATGAAAGAAGAAAAAGTTTATGAAAATTTTCTTTATTTTTCTTTTATTATTGGTAAGATTTATTTTAATTTAAATAAGTTAAAATATATAAAAGAATTTTATTTTTATTAAGATTGTTTTCTTGGTTTTATTTCATGTATTATTCGTTTAATGAAAGCCATTTTTCTTAATATAATTTATATGTCAAGACTTGATTGTAGTTTACATGGAAGATCAACAGAAAAATTCGGTAGAATACTCGATTTTATATAAAAAATAAA